TAACTAGAAAGCATAAAGACTTGTTTGATGAGAACTACAATGAGATCAAGCAGCTATTGGAAGAGAAGCATTGCCTCCATTGAGCCTACCTTAGCAACTCAAAGTCCATATCAAAGAAAGATGCATTCAGGAACATTTGGAGGTCAATACAGCAGAAACTCTGTCAGACTTGGTTCAGCTGAGATTCATGATTATGCTGACAAGCATGACATGAAGAAGAATTTCTATGACACCCTGAAAGAAATGTGTGGACCCATATCATCTTGATCATCTCCCCCCCTCCCCCTCAGTATTGATGGGTACACTTTGATCACTGTCAAGGTTAAGATTCTTAAAAGGTGGGTTGTTCAGTTCAATAGCGTTCTGAATCGCTCTTTGTCCATCAATGATGAAAAGAAAGAAAAGATTCTTAAAAGGTGGGTTGTTCAGTTCAATAGCGTTCTGAATCGCTCTTCGTCCATCAATGATGAAGCCACTGATAGTCTTCAATCCCAGTTGAGGCCTACAAGGAAGGCAGCACTGCCATTACTGAAAGGCTCAGCTGTCCTTACTCTCAATTGCAGGCAATATGTTTGCCAGGATCCTGCTGAATTGCCTAACATCTCCCAGTGTGGGAAAGCTCTGTTGTGAGTAACGGGAACACATACCGTTTCACTCACCATCCTGTCTAGTAAGCAGTGACTTGCTCTATGATTGTGTATTTATTAATTTGTTTTTATGCTTTATATTGTTATACATTGGTAATAAATTGTTTTTAATACCCAGCTGATCAAGAGAATGTATGTGATAATCAGCACTATTTAAAGAGTGCAAGCAATCCATACAGATCTGTACTATTATTTATTTTCTTTTTTATTTTATTTTGCATGCCATATATGAATTGGAGTATCATCCAGTGAGGAATATAAGTATATTTTTCCCTTTCGTAAGCTTTGATGCATGTGGGAGAGGGGCTCATTATTGTTCTATATCGTTCCACTTCTTAATATTATACTTTGGATTCTCTTTATGTATTTAAATGTTTCTATCATATCCCCCCTGTCTCGTCTTTCCTCCAAGCTATACATGTTAAGATCCTTTAACCTTTCCTGGTAAGTTTTATCCCGCAATCCATGAACCAGTTTAGTAGCCCTTCTCTGAACTCTCTCTAAGGTATCAATATGAAGATACGGTTTCCGGTACTGCGTACAATACTCCAAGTGAGGTCTCACCAGTGTTCTATACAATGGCATGAGCACTTCCCTCTTTCTACTGCTCATACCTCTCCCTATACAACCAAGCATTCTGCTAGCATTTCCTGCTGCTCTATTACATTGTCTGCCTACCTTTAAGTCATCAGAAATAATCACCCCTAAATCCCTTATCACCCCTAAATTCCTTTATTACTCCTAAATCCCTTGTCATTTTGTGTTACCGTTATTGTCATATTGTGTGCCCTACAATGTCATATTGTGTGCCCTACAATGTCATATTGTGTGACCGTCAATGTCATATGGTGTTACCTCCAATGTCATATTGTGTACCCTCTAATGTCATATGGTTTGACCTCCAATGTCATATGGTGTGACCTCCAATATCATATTGCGTAACCTACAATGTCATATGGTTTGCCCTCCAATGTCATATGGTGTGACCTAATGACACGGTAATTTTAGGTAACACCCCATACAATTTGCACAAATGACGTATGATTTTAATTATTTTTTTAATGTTCCACATGGTACTGCATCTCTAATCATTATGTTCTCACATGAAACAAGCTTTCCAGGCTATTAATGGATTGAGAAAATTGCACTTGTTAATGGCATTGCACTATTGCAATTTTCCTGTAAATGGAGCTTTTACGGTCCTGACAGTTTCTATCTGGTAATAGAACAATATTTTTAACATATGCAGCTATTTAGATAATGGATAGAGCTCCTGGCTTCAGACTCCGCACCATCTCACGCCTGCATCTCCGACATTACACATTTTTCTTCAAAAACACCAGAGACTATTCTAGGTGCTGCGGGAAATTATCGTTTAATGAATAAATGTACAGCTCGACTCTTACCAAACACAAAAAGACTCAGACTATCTGTACAGGAACAATGCGAGGGTTGAGAAAGAAATCATTCTCCAGACACAGCTTGATATAAAACAGAGAAAGTGCAGGGCGCGGACAGACAGACAGGCGTTATATGTGTTCATTTCATATTGTTAATAAAGAAACACAAGAAAAGTGTCTGGGCACTTCTAAAAGTATCTAGTGTGTGATACAGGTACAAAGAGTCACAACACTCAGAAATATAATAATAAAAACAAAGCACTAATAAGACACCAGTATCTCACTACAAAGAAGTACTTAAACAGCTGAACAGTAAGATTCCATGGAATACATGATTCAGAGCCGTACCATGCTCTGTATATAAAGCCCAAGGGTGCCTGCACAGACTAAACAAGATAATAATAATAATAGCTTTCCCAGAGATGATCCAGTGTATAAAAGATGAAATTATTAAGAATATACAGCACAAAAGACTTACATTTTATATATACAGGTGATACTTGAAAAATTAGAATATCGTGAAAAAGTTCATTTATTTCAGTAATGCAACGTAAACAGGGGAACTAATATATGAGTTAGCCACATTACATGCAAAGCAAGATAGTTCAAGCCATGATTTGTCATGAGTGTAATGATTGTAGCCTACAGCTCATGAAAACCCCAAATCCACAATCTCAGTAAATTAGAATATTGTGAAAAGGTGCAATATTCTAGGCTCACAGTGTCCCACTCTAATCAGCTAAGTAAGCCACAACACCTGCAAAGGGTTTCTGAGCTTTTAAATGGTCTCTCAGTCTGGTTCAGTAGGAATCACAATCATGGGGAAGACTGCTGACCTGACAGTTGTGCAGAAAACCATCATTGACACCCTCCATAAGGAAGGAAAGACTCAAAAGGTAATTGCGAAGGAAGTTGGATGTTCCCAAAGTGCTGTATCAAAGCACGTTAAAATAAAGCTACGTGGAAAGGAAAAGTGTGGAAGAAAAAGGTGCACAAGCAGCAGGGATTACCGCAGCCTGGAGAGGATTGTCAGGAAAAGGCCATTCAAAAGTGTTGGGTACTTTCACAAGGAGGGGACTGGAAAATATGCAGTGTAGCAATAGATTAAAATAAGGGCTATATCCTAAAGTGCATAAAAAGGCAATAACAAACCGTGCAACAAATAGTGTCTTAGCAGACGCGTTTCCGTTTAAAAAAAGCACATGAATGTATTCATCTGTATTCTATGGAATCTTGCTGTTCAGCTGTTTCAATATATCTTTGTAGTGAGACACTGTGGTGTTTTATTGGGGTAGTAACTAAAGTGAAAATTCCTACTGGAAGCATAGTTGACTATTTTGCCCTTTGAATTCTCTTTGAATTTTCAGTTTAGTAAATAGCCCTGATTGTTTTGTAAGTCATGGCAGACGTACACGTTGTTCTACCAGCGATAGATACAGTTCGTTTCTCCGTTGTCTGGCTCTATGGCATCCCACCGTTATCTGAACATTAAGCCCAACATGGCCTATCATGGTATCATTGTATTAACTTAGCCCCTGATTTGTTTACGTTTCTAAAACTGGACTAATTACGCAGTAATTTCATGTTATTAACGTGTATCCATAACTAGGTGCTCTTCCTGCAGCCTCTTCTGCAAAATACTATATGGACACTATTAGTACTGTTATTACATGAGCACATGGGATGAAGAAAGATATGGAATTTTCCTCCCCCATCATGTCTGTCTTATCAGCCACCCTGACACAGACTGAACCCCAGTAGTTATAAAATGCCACCTTCCTTAAACGTGATCTCAGTTCCTGCAAAGTCCAGCCTAATGTAATACCTCCTGTATGTAATAATATAATAATAATCCATTGATGTCATAACTCCTGTATGTAATAATATGATAATACAATAATGTCATAACTCCTATATGTAATAAAATAATAATACAATAATGTCATAATCCCTGTATGTAATATAATAATAATAATACAATGCCACAACTCCTATATGTAATTGTGGTGAATAGAACCTCACCACTGGTTCTTGGAGGGGCCTGCTCGCCAGCCTCTTGCCCCAGGACTATGGCCCCTGCAATAGACCTGGCTAAAATATGTTAAAAAGACTCTGTTCGTGCAATAGGGATTATATGGTTTAGTTACCGAACAATTGCACAAACCAGAGACCACCTTGGAGCTTGTTGACACCTATTAACAACTTGGAACATTTCTCACCACAGTGTTCTAATTGTTCATCTGGGTGGGCACAATTCCTATTGACAACCACTAGGTGGAGGCCATCTTGTTCGCATGAATTCTGGCAGCGGTTTTTGGGTATGAATCTCATGGAACTAAAATTGGACACAGAAACTCCCAAACACTGCTGGACTTCCATCATCAAAATACAGAAATATACAGATACACCAAATCGTGGATAGAACATACACTTAGTGGGTAGCAGATAAGAAAAATCCTAAATACAATTACCCTTGTACTATAAGTACTGTAGATAAGGACTCCTCAAGGTCCTCAAAATAGTGCAAAGAACAAAAAAAATCTACAATAAAATAGTAACAGAGAGAAACATAGTGTAATACTGTTATAAAAATTGAGAAAAAAGAGAATTGGTGGTAATTGCACTCACAAACCAAAATTGATTGTAGGCATATCATCAAATTTGTTGAAGACTCAAAATTCACAGGACATCATGGTCAGTATGGAAAAGGAAAAATAAAAATAATAGTGCAGAGTATCACAATAAAAATGAATATTTTAATATATGAATGCACTTACAAAATTGAAGTGAAAAATAGGCACATCATACACTGTCAGTTCAATTACAGGATCCCGGTAGAATGGAACACCAGAAGGAACAGCAATAATGATGAATAAAATAAAATTACAAAAAATTAAAATAACAATAATAAAAATAATAATACAGCTCTGCACTAATAGAAAACTCCTTACGCGTTTCGTTCAACTAATTGAACTTCCTCAGGGGCAATAAAAATTATCTTAGTGCCGGCTAAAAGGAGAACTTTTATTGCCCCTGAGGAAGTTCAATTAGTTGAACGAAACGCGTAAGGCGTTTTCTATTAGTGCAGAGCTGTATTATTATTTTTATTATTGTTATTTTAATTTTTTGTAATTTTATTTTATTCATCATTATTGCTGTTCCTTCTGGTGTTCCATTCTACCGGGATCCTGTAATTGAACTGACAGTGTATGATGTGCCTATTTTTCACTTCAATTTTGTAAGTGCATTCATATATTAAAATATTCATTTTTATTGTGATACTCTGCACTATTATTTTTATTTTTCCTTTTCCATACTGACCATGATGTCCTGTGAATTTTGAGTCTTCAACAAATTTGATGATATGCCTACAATCAATTTTGGTTTGTGAGTGCAATTACCACCAATTCTCTTTTTTCTCAATTGTTATAACAGTATTACACTATGTTTCTCTCTGTTACTATTGTATTGTAGATTTTTTTCGTTCTTTAGACTTCCATCATCGCCTTCGTTCGGTTCTATACAACTTAGAAGGGCACTGTTTGGTAAGATCATTCATCTGGATGAGGGGAACAAGCTCCAGGGTAAGACTTTTGACTCTGTTCATTTTCATACTACCGAACTAGACTGACCGCAAGCCCTGATTCTCTGGAACTGTTTTGGGCATGGGACCACGCCTATGGTCGGTCAAATAAATGACTTCCAGGAAATTCCTGAACCCCTTAAGTGATCTGGGTGATTTTTGGAATGTTTGGGGAAAAGTATGTTTTTCTTTTCTTGAATTAGATTACAACAGTTCCTGATCCAATTATCTTCCAGGCCCAGAGGAGGGATTATCTGTTAATGTATGGGAGTGTCATGTATTGTAACACTGTTGGTTGTCATTGGTCTGTGACTTTGTAATTCACTCTTCCATCAGGTCCAGGTGGGAGTACTCCTTGCATGGGGATTGTCATAAAAGGCCAAGTGTGGTCCCATTAAAATCAGTCCACTTCACCCTCAACACGCAGCCTCATGTCGTGATTGTAGGGACAAGCTATACCAGCTATACCTGCTTCGGATTATTATACTGACTATAATCACTAGCTCTTGTAAGAGCTAAACAGCCAGACCTGCTATACTCTCTGGAGGAGGAGAGGTCCACCAACTGGAAGCTGGATCCTTGTCTTAGGTCCAGGGTGAGTGGAAGACGGTAAGACCCCAGCCAAGATGCAGAGGCTTAGGGGCTACGGTGCTTATGGTGTCCGGTGCGGTGCTTATAGTACTCAAGGCGACTAGGAAGCAGCGATTGGCGGAGGAACCCAGTCGGGGTGCCAGGCGGTCCGTCACAGTAATAATATAATAATAATACAATTATGTCATAACTCTTGTATGTAATAATATAATAGTAATACAATGATGTCATAACTCCTATATGTAATAATATAATAATAATACAATAATGTCATAACTCTTGTATGTAATAATATAATAATAATAATACAATGATGTCATAACTCCTATATGTAATAATATAATAATAATACAATGATGTCATAACTCCTGTCTTACAAAAACCTCCTAAGTCCCTCAAGGCCTCAAAACAGTCCCAATTTCTGTCAAACTGTTCTGATTTAGTTCCCATAATTTCCCACACCTGGAGTTACCATCATGACTGCTGCCCAAAATGGGGAATAGGGGTGTCCCATCAATGAGATACAATGTTTGAAGTCTGTGGGTATATTATTATTATTTTTTTATTTATATAGCGCCATCAGATTCCGTAGCGCTGTAAAATGTAGATATAGAAAGTGTGGGGATCAGCAGTCAGACAGGACGAGTCAGCCTGACTGTTTTGCTCACTCTCCCATAAAAAAACCCTGAAAAAAACCCACATTGGCTATGTTTGTTGTTGTTAGTCTTCTTTTGTTTTGTTTTCACAGCCTGGGGTTCCCCTGGCCAGCTGTGAATATTGCTTAGTTCTCACCCGAATCCCCTGGCATTGACTGAACGCTCGCACGCCGAGGGGTTTTCTGGGATGGGTACAAATGGCATATTCGGCATACCTAATGCTGTAGCCTCAGGCACATATGCTTTATGTATGTACGGGCTGACTAGGTATGCCTCTACCCGTGGCATGGTAACTGGAGGCAAAGCATACCTTTAGTAATATTGGAGTTAAATTGACCCCATAGAAACCAGGAGAGGCATCGGAGTGTGCGTAAAGTGACACAGTAAGTTGTCAGAATACTTTAAAACAGGTTGATTATTTATCTGGAAAAGTAAGCACTACAGCAGATATTGACGCTCTCGTAGGGATAGATTTAGGATATTGGCACTCTCTTAGGGATATATTCATTATATTGGCGCTCTATGGGGATAGATTCAGAATATTGGCACTCTCTTGGGGATAGAGTCAGGATGATTGGTGCTTTCTTGGCGATAGATTCAGGATGATTGACACTCTCTTGGGTATAGATTTGGGATATTGGAGCTCTCTTGAGGACAGATTCAGGATATTGGCGCTTTCTTGTGGATAGATTCAAAATATTGGTGCTCTTTTGGGGATAAATTTAGGATATTGGTGCTCTCTTCGGGACAGATTCAGGCTATTGGAACTCTCTTGGGGACAGATTCCAGATATTGGCGCTCTCTTGAGGATATTGGTGCTCTCTTGGAGACAGATTCAGGATATTGGTGCTCTCTTGGGTACAGATTCAGTATGATTGACACAATCTTGGGGACAGATTCAGGATATTGGCGCTCTCTTGGGGACAGATTCCAGATATTGGCGCTCTCTTGAGGATAGATTCAGGATATTGGTGCTCTCTTGGTGACAGATTCAGGATATTGGTGCTCTCTTGGTGACAGATTCAGGATATTGGTGCTCTCTTGGGTACAGATTCAGTATGATTGACACTCTCTTGGGGACAGATTCAGGATATTGGTGCTCTCTTGTGGATAGATTCAGGATATTGGTGCTTTCTTGGGTACAGATTCAGTATGATTGACACTCTCTTGGGGACAGATTCAGGATATTGGTGCTCTCTTGGGTACAGATTCAGTATGATTGACACTCTCTTGGGGACAGATTCAGGATATTGGCGCTCTCTTGGGGACAGATTCCAGATATTGGCGCTCTCTTGAGGATAGATTCAGGATATTGGTGCTCTCTTGGTGACAGATTCAGGATATTGGTGCTCTCTTGGTGACAGATTCAGGATATTGGTGCTCTCTTGGGTACAGATTCAGTATGATTGACACTCTCTTGTGGATAGATTCAGGATATTGGCGCTCTCTTGGGAATTTATTCAGGATATTGGCGCTTTCTTTAGGGCAGATTCAGGATATTGGTGCTCTCTTGGGGACAGATTCAGGATATTGACACCCTCTTCGGGACAGATTCAGGCTATTGGTGCTCTCTTGGGGACAGATACAGGATATTGGCAGTCTCTAGGGGACAGATTCAGGATATTGGCACTCTCTTGGGGATAGATACAGGATATTGGCACTCTCTTGGGGATAGATACAGGAATTTGGTGCTCTCTAGGGGACAGATTCAGGATATTGGCACTCTCTTGGGGACAGTTTCAGGATGGTTGACACTCTCTTGGGGACAGCTTCAGGATGATTGACACTCTCTTTGGGACAGATTCCGGATATTGGTGCTGTCTTGTGGATAGATTCAGGATATTGGAACTCTCTTGGGGACAGATTCAGGATATTGACACCCTCTTCGGGACAGATTCAGGTTATTGGTGCTCTCTTGGGTACAGATTCAAGTTATTAAGAGAGCACCAATCATCCTGAATCTATCCACAAGAGAGCGCCAATATCCTTGGGGACAGATTCAGGATATTGACACCCTCTTCGGGACAGATTCAGGCTATTGGTGCTCTCTTGGGTACAGATTCAAGTTATTAACAGCCTCTTGGGGACAGATTCAGGATATTGGTGCTCTCTTGGGGACAGATACAGGATATTGGCAGTCTCTAGGGGACAGATTCAGGATATTGGCACTCTCTTGGGGATAGATACAGGATATTGGCACTCTCTTGGGGATAGATACAGGAATTTGGTGCTCTCTAGGGGACAGATTCAGGATATTGGCACTCTCTTGGGGACAGTTTCAGGATATTGGTGCTCTCTTGTGGATAGATTCAGGATATTGGCACTCTCTTGGGGACAGATTCAGGATATTGGCGCTTTCTTGGGGACAGATTCAGGCTATTGGTGCTCTCTTGTGTAACGATTCAGGATATTAACGCTCTCTTGGGGACAGATTCAGGATGGTTGACACTCTCTTGGGGACAGATTCAGGATATTGGTGCTCTCTTGGGGACATATTCAGGATGATTGACACTCTCTTGGGGACAGATTCAGGATATTGGTGCTCTCTTGTGGATAGATTCAGGATATTGACACTCTCTTGTGGATAGATTCAGGATGATTGGTGCTCTCTTGGGGACAGATTCAGAATATTGACACTCTTGGGGACAGATTCAGGATGATTGACACTCTTGGGGACAGATTCAGGATATTGGTGCCCTGTTGGGGACAGATTCAGGATATTGGTGCTCTCTTGTGGATAGATTCAGGATATTGGCGCTCTCTTGTGGATAGATTCAGGATATTGGTGCTCTCTTGGGAATTTATTCAGGATATTGGCGCTTTCTTTAGGGCAGATTCAGGATATTGGTGCTCTCTTGGGGACAGATTCAGGATGATTGACACTCTCTTGGGGACAGATTCAGGATATTGGCGCTCTCTTTGGGACAGAATCAGGATGATTGACACTCTCTTGGGGACAGATTCAGGATATTGGTGCTCTGTTGGGGACAGATTCAGGATGATTGACACTCTCTTGGGGACAGATTCAGGATATTGGTGCGCTGTTGGGGACAGATTCAGGATATTGGCGCTCTATTGGGGACAGATTCAGGATATTGGTGCTCTATTGGGGACAGATTCAGAATATTGACACTCTTGGGGACAGATTCAGGATGATTGACACTCTTGGGGACAGATTCAGGATATTGGTGCTCTGTTGGGACAGATTCAGGATATTGGTGCTCTCTTGTGG